TTATTATTATTATTATTATTATAATATTATTGATGTTATTTATATTATTTATTTAATTGTCTAATTGCTTAATTATAATAGTATAATTGTGTGTAATATGTATATGTGCCTATTTATATATTTGCGCTGGATTATTTATTTTAATTCCCGATCGTTTGGCGTTAAACTGAGCCTTTCTATTGATTGTCGAACCTCGGAGATAACCGGCTCGTGCGCCCATCAGCCATTCTTTTTATTGTGGTCGTCTAACTTTTGTTTTCGGCCCTTTAAGCTCTTAATTTGTCGGCCCAATAAGTATGTTTTTGTTCGGCCCATTAGATTTCCTTAGCTCTAGAAGAACCTTTTTGTCAGCCCAAATATTATACCCAAGTCGCACGTTCTCAGAACCCATTCCCTCTTCTTTTTTGCTGTAATCTCGCCCTAATTTTCAGAGCCTTCAGTCGCTCAATTCCTTCAAGCGACGACCAAACAGATCCTAGGCGAGATCATCACTCTCGATTGTGTTTCAGTCGAGCGGCACACCTTCGGTCGCCGACCACCCGTGCGCCTTCGACGACCCTTGAGCAAAACTGGCCTCAGTCCGGTAGCCACGAACCCCCGTCATGTTTGATAATTTATGTGAAATTACACGGGAATCCTACGAACTGATATGTAATTTTCAGTTCTTATAAATAATCTAAAAATAGAAAATTACAATTGAACTAAATAATAAATTACAACTGAAAAGAGAAAAGATTTTAGCCGAGGCGAGTAAAACTCTTTCCGCAAGAAGAATACGCCCCGTGTGGCTGCTAACGGTTAAGGCGTAACTTCCCCAAAGATACAACGGAAAACAGCTCTAAATATGTAGCACACCAGATTTACGAGCTCCGGCGAACGGGAACGGAGTCGATAATTGAGCACTAAAAAATAAAAGAAATATCTTAAAAGAATATCACTTGTTTCTTCTCTTTTGATATTTTTATATCCGATATTTGGACATATATTTTTCTTTTCTTTCCTTTCTCTTTCTTTCTTCTCTCTTTCTTTCAGATTTTTGGTACATTTTCTTCTCTGCCGAGTATTCCTATTTATAGGGGAGAGAGGACAGATAAAGCCTTGAGAGAGAGCAGATAAATCCTAACCTTACAGATAGGCTGCAAACTGGGTTAGTGATTGATGAGTTGTATTAGCTGTATGACAATGATATGCTAGAATAATTGTATAAACAATTTAGCAAGTTGGCCATGATTGTACATACAATTTGTCAGGTTGACTACACTCAATAATTAAAACAACTATTACACTCACATATTTAATAACAATCCCCCACATGAGTGTAAATCAAATATATTATACTATGTGCTCAATCCTCACAAAACTCTATTGAATCAGATAAGGTAGTGTTTTGTGGATTTCCACGAAACTGCACCTCCTCCAATACAGAAAACATATCCGCTAGTAAAGCGAGAATCTCTCAAATCTGATATCCAGCTTGCATCACATTACCCTTCAAGTACCGTTGGATATCTCAAGTATTTTAGCCCGTATTCAAGGGTGTACCTCAAGTACTTAAGTACCCTTTTCAAAGCATTCCAGTGCTCATGACTGGGATTGCTTGTATATCTGCTCAACTTATTCACCGGATAGGCTAAGTGTCGTGTACAATTCGTCAAGTACATCAGACTCCCTATTATCAGTGAATATTCCAACTGAGCCACTAGTTGACCTTTGTTGACTTCCAGATTTATACTGAGATCAAGGGATGTCTTACACCTAGACTGTGCACCGTCATAGGTATCAAATTTCTTGAGCACTTTCTCAACATAATGAGATTGTGACAAGACAATTCCATCTTGGGTTCTGATAATCCTTATTCCAAGAATAACATCAGCCAAACCCATATCTTTCATGTCGAAATTTCTTTTCAACATTCTTTTTGTATCCATGATCACTTCATGGCTACTCCCCATGATCAACATATCGTCTACATATAGACATACAATCACAAATGTATTTGATGTACCCTTGACATAAACACATTTATCACATTCGTTGATTTTGAAATCATTTGTCAACATCACGTAATTAAATTTCAAATGCCATTTTCTGTCTTGTCCAGGTGCAACAAACCCTTCAGGTTGTTCCATGTATATTTCTTCTTCCAATTCACCATTCAAAAATGCCGTCTTGACATCCATTTGGTGAATCTCAAGATAATGCAAAGCAGCAATCGAGAGAAGCACTCTTATCGACGCTAAACGCGTAACAGGTGAATAGGTATCAAATAAATCATACCCTTCCTTTTGTTTAAAGCCTTTGACCACCAAACGTGCTTTAAACTTATCAATCGATCCATCAGCTTTATATTTTTTCTTTAGGATGCATTTGCATCCTAAAGGTTTACAACCATCAGGGAGATCAACCAACTCCCAAGTATGATTTTGCATAATGGACTCAATTCGCTATTTACAGCTTCTTCCCAGAGTGGTCCGTCTGGGCTAGACAGAGCTTCCTTAATGGAACTCGGTTCATCGTCCAACATGTACGTAATAAAATCAGGTCCAAACATTTTTACTGTTTTTACCCTTTTACTACGTCTCGGTTCTTCA